TACGAAGATCCGGTGGCAGAAGCAACCGGAGAATCAAATGGGAAACATTGTCTTCGATGGACACGAGAGCGAAATTAGCAAACAACATCGCACGAAGGTTTGAACAGATCCCAGCGATGACAACTCATGTTGAAACCGAGTGGCAGCTGTTTAAGAGAGGCCTACTCAAGGCTGCCGCGAATGCTGCGGATATAAACGGGTTGGCCTGCCGCCTGGAGGTCAGTAAAGATCTTCATGGTGGACACGAGACGTACAACTGGCAGTTAAAAAGAAAAAAACAGCGTTCAAGAAATGGCTTGGAAACAAGGAGCCATCTACACGCGTGCGATATGTCGAGGTACGCAAGGCGGCAGCCATAGGAGTGGCAAAAGCCAAGACTGATTCCTGGGAGAAGTTCGGTGAGGTGTTGCAGTCGAATGTCCACACGGCAAACAAAGTATTCTGGTTAGACCATCCGCCGGCTCCGAGGTGAAAAGACGGGCGGTCTCAGAGTCTTGAAGGACAGAGCTGGACACTCTCTTACCAAGGATGATGACATTCTTCGGCGATGGAGGGAGTACTCTGGGGAACTCCTTAACCCCGCGCAGCGACAGGAAAACTCGCCTGTAGAGCAGAAGGGTGCGGATATTACTATCTCTGTATATGAAATTACACAAGCTGTGAAAAGCTTGGAAAATGGAAAAGCTGCTGGAATTGACCGAATCCGCCCTGAAATGCTCAAGGCATTAGGGGAACAAGGCATGTGCTGGCTAATACGTGTCTGTCAAACAACGATGGCTGCGGGAAAGACACCAGCGAACTGCAGAACGGGAGTTATTGTGCCCTTACTCAAGAAGGGAGACCACAAGGAATGCTCCAGTTATAGGTGCATAACGTTATTGAGCATCCCAAGTAAAGTCTACGCAAAGGTGCTAGAAAGGAGGTGCCGGGAAATAACTGACTACAAGATACAAGAAGAGCAGTGTAGCTTTCGGCCCGGTCGAAGTACCTCCGACCATATATTTGCCCTGCGCCAATTGTTGAGAAATCGTGGGAGTACGCCCATCCGGTGAACATGTGATTTGTGGACCTGGAAAAATCGTATGACCGGATCCCACGCAATAATCTGTGGACATGCCTTCGCGCATACGGGATGGATGGCCAGCTGCTAAGGGCCATTCAATCACTGTATTCGAATTGCAGGTGCTGCGTCAGAGTTAATGGCGTTCGGTCAAGACCATTCAACGTTCGCACTGGTCTTCGCCAAGGCTGCGTCCTGTTCCCTATCCTGTTTGTGTTGTACATGGATAGAATATTCAGGAGCTGCCAAGGCGATGAGGGTATCGGTGTAGGAGATGTGAAGACTAGAAGGTTGCTGTTTGCAGACGACCTTGTTTTATTAGCATCTTCTGAAGCTGACCCTAGAAGGTTTGCAGCGGAGTGCGACGTGACCAGCATGGTTTGAACGCATCTAAAACGAAAAGCCTAATTTTTTTCTCGTTCTCTTGCCCGTTGCACTCTTCAGATTAACGAAGAAACAGTGGAACTGGTGGAGAAGTTAGAATACCTTGTAGTCGTATTTACTGGTGATGGAAAATTTGAGGAAGAGATCGACCGGCGAATTGGAGTAGTCAGTGCCGTCCTGCATGAACTAGGCCGAAGCGCTGTGACTGAAGCAAAGCTGAGTCTGAAAATTAGGCTCTCGGTGTTCAAGTCATTCTTCATCCCCGTACTTAACTATGGTCATGATTCGTAGACAGTGACCATAAAACTTTGATCCCCCGGCTCATATGGGTTGTCTGAGACGATTCGCTGCACGTCTCAACATGGTTCAAAATGCTACGCGCTGCTTCTTGAGAAGTCGCA